CTGGCCACTAACAGAAAGCTTTGCTAGAGGGGCTTTCATTTGATCCATCATGGATCTTTATGTTCTTATGAAATGCAGTATATTCATTATTTAATAATACCTGATAGGTAACATGCAGCTGCAAACTGGGCTTGCTTATCAAGTGTACAAACAGAATATAAAGCCTGAACACTTTGCGAGATTGCCAGAAACATATGAAAAAAACTTCAGTGCTGAGGTTGTAAACTAATAGAATGAGGTGCACTCTTGGGCACAACGGCCCCATGAGCTTCCTCAGTGCAGTTTAGGAAATCTTTCAGACTGCATTTGAACATACAGGAGAATGTTCCCATGTAAGAACTATTATAAAACTCCATCAAGAGTAGCAGTTTTTCCTATACATATCTCTATGTTGTCTGGGTTAAATGACAACTTGTTCTCCCTCAGCTACCCCAAAACTACCCACAGAATTTGGTTCAAGAGTTTAATAGAATCCCTGGGTAACATAGATGGAACTGTAAACATTAAAATTTTCTTTGGAAAAAACAGAAAACTACCATCTTCCAACCTGTGTCTGTGAGTCCATCAGGGCATAGAAAGTGTGAGTTGGCAGAATTTTCTCATCCCTGTCAGTTAACTCTGTAATGTAGCCATGTCTGAACCTGAATAAAATGACTACTTTTTAACTTCAGGGTAGCACTTACCTGGTTGCTGGACTGTTGAGGAGTTCTGCATGTCAGAGCCAGAAGAGAGCTATTCCTGTTGACCTGTGTGTGTATAGATACATAGATATAGACATTGTGAATATTGTTGCATTTTGACATTTCTTTATAGGAATCAAGATGTCAAGACTTCAGTCACATGCACCTATTCTCTTATGATCCGTTTAATTTACAGATTCCAAAGTAGCTTAATTGACAAAGGTGTTAGCCTAGCACAAGTTTTCCTTTGATGGGGTTGGAAAGATGAAATATACCTAAGAATTTCAGCTAGAATTTAAGGAGGGTGGCATCAGTGGTCCAAATTTTCAAAAAGGGTAGTAGAGGGGACATGGGGAATTACAGATCAGTTAGGTTTACGTCCATTCTAGAAAAGACAGTGGAAAGGCTCATAATAGCAAGAGATCTAGTAACACTAGCTAGGGTAAGGGAGGTTGTTAGCCACTCAACATGGCTTCTGCAGAAACAGGGCCTGCCAGACGAACCTTGTGGAATCCTGTGAGGTTTCGAGGTGGTTAGACAGAGGGGATGTTGAAGATGTGGTTACCTGGATTTCAGCAAGGCCTCTGTGACAAAGTGCTGCATGATATCCTGGTTGAGAAATTAAGGAGTTTTGGGATAGACCAATGCAATATCTGATGGATTAGGGCATGGGTGACAAACTGAAAGCAGAGGATGACTATTAGTGGGGTATCACTGGGATGGCGGCCAGTGATGACTGGGGTTGCCCAGGGCTCTGTCCTGGGATCAATCCTGTTCATTCTTTTCATTAATGACCTGGAGGAGGGGGTGACCAGTCTGCTGATCATATTAGCAGACGATACTAAAATGGGGGCAGTGGCAACAAATGAGGAGCAGGTACCACAAAACCAGAAGGATCTGGACAGACTGTGGAACTGGGCAGGGGACAACAGGATGGCATTCAGTGTGATAAGTGCAGGGTCTTGCACTTGGGGCATAGGAATGGGTGTCATAAGTACAGATTAGGGGACAAGTGGTTGGAGAACAGCACTCGTGAAAATGATCTTGGGGTGCTAGTTGACTGCAGGCTAAACATGAGTCAGCAGTGTGACTCAGCGGTCAAGAGGGCGAGCACCACCCTTGGTTGCATAGTCAGAAGTGTGGCTTCTAGATCAAGAGAGGTATTCCTACCAATCTATATGACTCTGTTGTGCCCAGAACTGGAGTATTGTGTTCAGTTCTGGGTTCCACATTACAGGAAGAATATAGCCAGGTTTGAATTGGTGCAGTGTAGGGCCACAAGGATGGTGGACGGATTGCAGGAAAAGCTGTATGAGGCAAGACTGAAGGAACTGGGTCTTTCCAACCCGGAGAATAGGAGACTCCCAAGGGGATCTGTTGGTGACATATCGGTATGTGAGGCGGTGTCACATGGAGGTGGGTAGAGACCTGTTCTCCCCTGGGGAAGAGGGCAGGACTTGTTCTGATGGAACAAAGCTCAGGGAACAAAGGTTCAATTTGGATAACAGGAAGTACTTCCTGACAGTTAGGACCCCAAGCATATGGAATGGGCTTCCATGGGGAGGTAGTTGAAGCCCCATTGGTGAGGGTGCTCAAGGATAGGCTGGGTATGCACATAGTAGGCATGTCATGAGTGGAGTCGGCTGGAGTTGGGAGTCAGACTAGATGGCCCGGGAGGCCCCTTCTGACTCTGTTTCTATCTTTTGATGAATTGTAAAATGGGTGCTGAGATTAGATCCTAACATGGTCAATTTTTAATAAAAAGATGGCTAACAGCAAGGTAGATGATGAAAAAGAAAGGAAAATAAGGTATAAATATGCCTTGCAAGGAAAAATCTCTTGGGCTCCTACATCAGCACTTTAATAATGTATAGGGAAACTGTTTAAGGAAAAGCCCTCTGTGAGACATAGAGACTTGTGGAGTTCTCCTGAGGACATTCTGTACACAGTATGGTCACTGGTCTGTCACTGCTGATTTACATTTGCATCACCTTAATGTTTCCATAGCAGCAAGAATTACTTTTCTCAGAGAAAGCTGTCAGGATCTTATATATTTGGTGGCACTTCAACTTAATGATAAAATGGATTCCTGCTGATATTAGAAAAAAAAGAAAAGAAATCCAATTCATTTCCCCCACAGAGCCGATTCAAATCAATACAGGTGAAATCACTGGAAATTACTAACTTTATTAAAATTTTGGGAGGCTGCAAGACATTTGACATAACCAAGTAGTTTAGACAACTGAATTGGATTCAGTTCTCATCATGCAATCCTGCAGTCCATATAACCTATTTCAGGGAGAGAATCATTCTTTTAAAAATGTTAGATATTAGTAAGAGTAAGTGAGGTCAATTTACTAAGGAGGTAACTTGCTCAGTGACTTTGCTACCTTTCTGAAGATAGAGAATTGATTTCAGGTCCTATGTGCATGGGGAAATATATTGTGTGAATTCAGTAAACCCAAATGATCAAGCTCACCAATGGATCTATGAGATCTTGAATTTCAAAACAATCTCTGAACTGATGTATTAGGCATGAGGCATGGAACCATTTTGTTACAGTGGTGATATACATACTTTAATAAATCTCTGCCACATTATGCTCATCCCTTTCCTGCTGTGATCCAATCTACATTTTGAAGATTTTCCAAGGGATAATGAGTTAAAAGATCAACATATATCAAAACATTCAGAGAGTCAGCCATACACAAGGCTTCACCAACTTACTACATTTAAAAATACTTGTGTGACTTGGTCAACAGTGTGTTTTACCATACTGTACGATACATTTGTCATATACAGAATACTGAAAATTCCTATAGTTGCAAAATTCTAAAAGCTGAACTGCCCTTACCCACATGTTCAAATTATGAAATTCATATATCAGCTTCTGGGAGGTATAGAAATGAAATAATAATTCAGCATATGGAAAAACAGGTTTGACATACTTTGTAGGGTTTGCCATACTTCAGGGTAGTATAACCTGAAGTACAGGTCTACTCAAGTTATCCAACAACTAGTTTTCATTTTATACACTGAGTGTGAATGCAGTTATAGAGAAGATTGTTTAGCTCTTTGTTTAAGGGTATACCATCAGGAAGGAGATGGATAAATATCTGTTAATAATTTTTCAGCTAGCTACAGATTACTAATAGCAAATTTCTTAAGGAGATTTTTTTTAGTACAGACAAATAGCTTTAGACAAAATGAAATGGGCACAGAAATTTGTCCAAATATTCTAGCTTTGTATAATCACTTTTCCTTAAAAGAAAAAAAAAATTCTTAGTTGCTGAAATAAATGCCTTCTCTAGTGGCTTCAACAATTCTGCAACAATTAACTTTAAATGGTTCTTCTCCCTTGATTCCATTTCATTGACCAAAGCTACACTTTCTAACCAATTATTTTAAAATATTTAAGATTACTTTATAAATTGAGTTATATATAACTATATATATAAAACTAAGTATAAATAACTTCCAATGAGATTCCCCTCATACTACAAATGACACAAGGGATACCTTTAATTAGGTTCAACACAGAGTTCCCTGTAGTAACTGCTAACTATGACAAAGTTAGTTGGAGAATCAGTGCAATATTCAATATAAACAGACCTTTCTTCCCCTTCTGAATTTGCTTACCCCATATATGTGATTAAACCAACTGAGCTTTAGGTTCAACAGAGTAATTTCAGTGGTATGTAGGCAAATATTGGACACAAATGGGAAACATTTGAAAATACTCAGCATATACAATAAGTACAGGAGTAGCTGGAAAGATAGTGTATCTAATGTTTACGTAATGGCAATATGGCATGAGATGCATGAATACAGAGGTAATTATGTACTGAATAAGGAGCTCTGTTAGGGGTCTTTTGCCTGGAGCCTACCAATGTATACATGGGCAGTCTAACCCAATAAAATTATAGAATCCAAAGTAAGCCTTACAAAATGATCCCATGGAAATTATTCCATTTATTAAAGTATCTAAAGCCTGTATTCTGATATTATGAGCTTGTAAAGAAGCCTGGATACAGAAAGACCCCACCTAATGTTATCCAAAACCTTTCCCAGATGCTTATTGCTAGCATGTCAGTTGTTACCAAGGGTATCACAAGAAATGTTGAAGAATTAATTTTATGCTGAATGGAGTTTGTTTTTGGAGTTGTTGTTTTTTTAAACCTTGTTTTCTTAAATGGTAGCTAGAAAGTCTGGCTTCTGACATGAGCTGTCCAGCCCTTTTTAACCTCATAAAATATAACAGTAATAACATATAACTTATAGTCAATTATATATAGTATGTTGTACTATTATGCTACATTTTTATGATACAACCTTCTGTGTATTTTTTTCCAATGGTGAGACACTAATGTTGGTAGAATCTGGACCCTGCTGCTTCCGAATTCTGGCATAAAGAGCTCTAACTTCCAGTTCATGCTTCATGGCTGAAACAACAGTTTTAAACTTCAGTAATGAAAATAATTTATGAAAACAATTTCATACAACTTGCAAAAATAGAATTTAAGTGGTTAATACAACAAGTTACAAGTCCATTGTTATATGGCCAAATTAATGGCATATATGGATGTCAGTGTTCTCCTACTGATGGTTGATTCCTGTCTGATATTAAATCTAGTGTTGAACTTGGATTATTTCTTAAGTGGGGACTCCTGGACTGCACTGAAACTTGGAATTCAATACCAACAACATCATACATCAGAGGCTTAATTTCAACTGAATACAACTTTTAAAAATTTGAACGTATGCTTCTTCTGGACTTTGGCTGATAACAAAGAAGTACCACTCTGAACACAGCTATCAGACCATTCCAGATTTTCTTTTTTTTATGTATGACAGGACCTCCATCTGCACAAATCGGTTCCAAGCCCCCCCCAGAAGATGCCTGAAACTGCAGCTAATAGCAAGCACTATGCAATACATATACAATTGCAAGCAGGCAGTGAGTGGCGGGCCACAAAATAAACTCAAATATATACATTTCTTTTTCTCAATTTATTCATTTTACCCCAGCACTTTAAGACTTTTTCTTTTGGCACTTTACAACTTCTCTTTAGGCCAAGGCCAAGTGTGGCTAACTGAAAATGTGGTAACCAAGTCAGTGGATATAGGAGTCCTGCTGTACTTTGTTTTTGTATATTTTCAGTAATAGTATTTAAGGTTGAGTTTTTTAAAAAACTGTAATGTTGATGCTTGCGATTTTTTAAAGAATTTGCACATATTAATAATAATTTATAAACACATCATTCCACATAAAAGCCACACTAAAATGGAGTGACATACAACAGAAATGAAATGTTCAATTTCAGAATACTTTCAGAATGATTTAAAAATAATTCTTTTTCATCAGGTCAATTTCAAACCTCCCCTAGAGCAAGTTAGTCATCACACCAAACCACAGTTGCCACCTAGACTTTCAAAAGCCAAACAGGCTTCAGCCATGGTTGTGTTCAGGCACAGGGGGATAGCCTCATGAACAATGTCTCATCCACCTCTAAATAATTCTGTGCAATGTAAGTATTTGGCACATTTGTCAAGAGCTGTAAAACGATGGTTCTGAAACTGCCATAGACTACCTTTTCTGCTCATAAAGGGATGTCCTGTGGTAACACAAACAATCATGTCTCTTTCTATTTCATCCCACGATTGCAGTGGCTCACCATCAGGTGTGTACAGTGTCCTTGCAGGTTGTGGCATTTTTAGTTGTGTTGTACAGCTGTCAAGTAGCTGAAACATAGCAAACAGTGGTCCATGTTGGTTTCTGAGTTCAGTCCACCAATCACAACAGTACACATGCCTACTACAGCTAATTTCAAGGATTGCACATAGTCAATGAATCAGGCTCAGTCATCAATTTCCCTCTCACATACACCTTTATTTGAGGATAAACATGGATCTGACTGGGACCTCACAATATGGAGCTAGTAGAACAGATCAACTGCAGAGTATGGACAGATATTTTAAAAGGCACTGAATGTCTCGAATTTATTGCCTTGTATACCTCTAAGTCATGGCAGTGGGGAGGAGGGAGTTGAGAGTAAACCACTTTAAAGCCTACCTTACACAGCATTTATTCATTTAGTAAATTTATGTGCCTTTTTCCTTCCATGTTGAAACTCGGAGGATTCCCAGGTGGTCTACCATCCAGGTCCTGGCCAGACCCTGAGTTATTTAATTTCAGGAAAGTGGCAGCAGAGTCTTTGTTCAGAAGTAGATGAAAGCACTCCTGCTTTCCTTTAGAACAGAAATGGGCAACTTATGTTCCTCCAGGTATTTTGGCCAACAACTTTCATGATCCCTCAACACTGGCTAGGCTGATGGGAGCTATACACCAAAACATGTTTAATGTTTTGTGAGCCGCCTTGAGGCTTCAGCGAATGGGGCGGCATAGAAATTTTCTAAATAAATAAATAAACAGTTGGAGGACCACTCCTGATTGACAAGGTCCCAGTTCCAATCTCCACCACTGCCTCTTCCTGAGACCGTGAAGCGCTGCAGCCCATATATTCTATATTTTCTATATTTCCACTTACCAAAGTGGCACTCAAGGTGGCTAACACCATTCAGAACACAATCAACAGTTAAATAATTAAAGCCAAAGCCAAATTACAGAAACCTTTTAGTAGACCAAACAGAATCAGCATAAAATATCAAAAATGAATGGAAAGTCCAGATAAAGTTGTTTTCACCTGATGGAAGAATGAAAAAGACACGGCCAAACAAGCCTCTCTCAGGAGAGAATTCCACAGCAGAAGGATAACTAGAGCCTCTTAGACATCTTCACTAACCTTAGACTGACCCATGCTGGGATTCAGACAGGGGCTTTTTTATAAGATGCTAGGGTGTGGGCACGTTAATATGAGAGAAAGTGGTTCTTAAGGTACTTTGAGCCCAAGCCATTGAAGGCTTTATAAATAATGACAGGCACTTGTAATTGTGCCCAGAAGGATACTGGCGAGTGGTAACTAGTTTTGTTCAGAGAGCATGCTAGAATTAAACAGTATAGGCTACACTGTGAAATGTATTTCCTTGGAAGGTTTGCTTGACTCCCTCTCTTTTCACAACAGGACAAAAATCTTTTCCTTTAGGCTGGCATTTGTTTTATCAGATCATTACAGTTTTATCTGACTGTATATGTCTCAGTTTTTATTATCCTGTACTGGGGGAGGGTTTATGATTGCATTTTATTGGTTGGATTTAATTGTTGTTAGCCACCTTGGGCAATCGGTAGAAAGAAAAGATATACATTTAGTATGAATATAAATACTTTAATATTTATTAATTTGTTACTTTAAAGCTTGGTGCTTGTTTCCCCTTTTTTTTTTTTTTTAGTTTCTTTGGGATCATAAGCCTGCAGGCAGGAACAAACAAGGAACAATCTTGTTTGTTACTGAAATTATGGAAGCCACTTTTATTTGAGACTTTTACTATGTTCTGGGGACAGAATACAAGGAACAAAAACTCAGTTGTTGCTTGGAAAAATGTTCCTAGGCTTCTGGATTGGAAGAGATATACTTGAAAATGGGGTGGGGTGGGAAGGTGCAATGCCTAGTGAAATTTAGGAGCCAGAAAGGGGGCAACAAAGAATTGTTCCAGTAGTCTGGATAGAATTATTCAAAATAAGTAAATTTATAAACATCTTTTCATAAATTCCATAATTAAAAATAAAATATGTATAATTTATACATACATTATATAACATACATAATTTATATAAGTAATAGAATCCAGCTTTTCTAGATACTAGAATTTACACACACATGTACAGAATCATAGGACAGGATAAGCAAAAAGCTGTACACAAAGAGCAGGAAATTCTACTCTCCTTTCCTAACCTAGCTTCTCAAGATTATGTTGGAATAGAAATCGAAGAGAGATGCTTGTGAAGTTTCTTCAAACACACCATATTTTAATCTTTATTTCCCATAGTTTCTTGTTCAGGTATTGCTATGTGAAACCTTACTGCACTAAAGATGATAGAAAAGACTTATTATAAATAATGTACATTGGTGCCCATAAGGGAATTATAGTACAGCTAGCAAGATGGTAGTAATAGGTTCTCCAGGTCTTTGATGTGATATATCAGAGGAACTGGCTCGCATTTATGCCATGGTATTTATAATGCAAGGGAGAAGAATTCTGTAGGTCTTCAAAACCAAAATCAAATCAGTTACTCCCAAATTTCCTTTAACCACCCTTTTTTCACACAACTGGCTTGATTAAAGACCAATCAAGGGTTGGGTTTTTACATTTTTCTTGTAAATGCCATGAGCATGTGAAGTAAATGGGATCAATTTTTCTGGAAGAAATTGTAAATGAATTTATGCACTTTAACAGAGCATGGCTTTAGTCAAAAGACCAAGAATTATCTGGGAACTAGTTCAAGTTAACTTGAACTACATAACTATGATAACTAATTAACAGATGTTTCGCTTACATGATACTTCACATGTATAAATGTTCCGATATTTAGATATGGGCGTGTACCATCAATCTGGCTTCCCATAACCCTCTGCACTCATAGATGGGTAATTTTGACCATTTATATCTTTTACCCATGATCACAAGATGCAGTGACTAAGACACTTCTGGGATTCCTGATATCCTGGTGGAACCTCACTCCTCCCTTCCCCATCCATCAGAAAACTTTCCTAGGACCAGCTTCAGAGTCATATTTGCAACTTCAGAGTCACAGCCAACTGCAAGGATGGAGAGAGGTCACAGCAAGATTGGAGTCCCAGTTCCTAGCTGATAACACATTTTGGAGGTCAGAGCTAGGATGTCAACTTGTTCTATGGCTGTCTAGACAGCATCCAGCAGCCACAGGATTGCACATGAACCTTTTTACAGGAACAACGTCTATATTTAAAAGTCAAGAAGTGATCTATAATTATGCAACAGCACTAGAGAACTAATGTAAAAGAAGCATTTCTTCTCTTTTACCTCTGAAATTGTTTTCCCCCAGACACGAGCTCCCTGCTCAGGTGTATATCCATTTATATAAGCCCACACTCTTTTGGTTGTGGGTTGTTTGTAGAGATTTCTTTGGCTTTTTGCAAGTAGTTTAGGAGAAAATTGAGAACTTCTTTTCAATTGCAATGCTTGAAGCTCGGAAAGATGCATCTGTTATGAAACACAATTGTTCCAAAGTCATGGAGATTAGTCATTATGTGACTATTGACATACAGAATGTTGCACTTAAGAAAACTAGAAGTGAACAAAGAACAATTGATGAATAATTGAAGTTTCTTATATCATTCTGTAAATGTACACAAGATTATCTGTTCCACTTATCAAGCATGACTGATTTAGGGCATTGTCTGCATGAATTAATTTTGGAGGGTGCTTAAGTGCTGATGCAGTGTTTCTTACCCACAGAAACCAATTAGCATTGGTAGCTTGCACAGCAGACAAAGGATACCCCCATATAAGGCTTTTACTGTACAATTGCACCGCTTCAGTCATAGATTGTTATGGGGGAGATGTGAACGCATTATCCACTTGTAATTCTGTTTTTCTCACTGCTTCTTCTATCTCTTTTACCACAGAAAATCTGTTCAATAAAAGATGGAACAGCAGCATAATGCCTTCTGGCCATCAGTAGTAGGAACCCTTTTCCTGGAAGCATCCATGGAGAATTGTGAAGCACACATGATGCACGTGGAGGAAAGAAACTAAACTCTTGTGATGCAGGTATAGCTGGTTTTAGATGTTGTTTCTTGCCCTTCCAGAATGTCCTCAAAAGCAACAAACTCGGGATGCAGAAAGGTACCATACAGGTGTATAAACTGTGTTTATGCTTTTAAGTGCTTCTATGAACCAAGTTCTTATTCTGCTAAAATCTTAAATAGTAATGGTAGGAGCAGAAGGAAAGTGACAGTTTCCAAAGCTGTTTCCTTTGTAAATGGTACCTGTATAGTTCAAGGTATTTCTTACTTATTTTGAGTACATCCTATAAAATGCTTTATTTGCTATAATTAAGACTTCTTCATGGTTCTGTACTTTAGCATGCTTCTAAGAAACATAATGTGTTGCTCTTGGTTCAGCTGTTAATAGTGATTAAACATTGAAGACCAATTCCAAACTGCTGTTTGAATCAGTGTTTCCCTTTAGAAACTCATATTTAACCTGTTCTAGTATTTTGCCGGTAAAACTGCAGCCGCAGCCACAGGAGGGCTGTAAAGTTCTCTCAGGAACCATCTGGAGATTTTAGGGGAGAAAAACGTGGTCAGGAAAATGTTTGAATAAGAAAGTCATGTAAAATAGTAGATGTCTCTGTCTAAGGCAGTTCTGCTCTTATCCTTTATTCTTTCCAATGTAAAATATGGATGCTTCCTCTCTCACCTAACTCTTTAGGAAACAAGAGCTGTCATTGGGATAAGGTCTTGGCTCATCTGTTTACTATATTAATTTTGTTTTGACAAAATGTGTTTCATTTATCATCAAAACAAATTGTCACACAAATGCAGCACAAAGTAAATTGTCATACCTCAGTGTGTTGTATAGTTTCCATGAGCTTCATTTCTTCTTGAGTTTCTTCATTCCAGCCTCCTTCTACTACCACAGGCTGGAGAGGACTCTTTGTGGGCACCAGGATAGCCGCTTTAGATTTTGTTATGCGTCTGCCTAAAACAAGGATGTCCTGGAGAGTTACTTTTTTTAAAAAAAATCATAATGTCTGATGTGAAGAGGTCTTAATAATGCTATAAAACAAAGATTAAAGACATGCTATGTATATTTCCAATGTTGTCATACCTGCATATATTGGCCGGGATCCAAAGCACCCTATACACAAGTGGAAAGCACTTCTGCATGTGAGGAGGGATGGGGTGCATTGCACGGTGCTACAGAGAATTCCTCCAACATGCAGAGTAACAAGAAATTCTTCCAGTGTGTAGTGGGGGAGGGAAGGTGATGACAAAAAACTACACACAATATAATTCTTGTTGCAAAAAATAATGCATAGTCTGTTATTTATACGCAGTCCCCAGGTTACAAACAAGTTCAATTCCTGAGAAAATGGAAATTTGTCTTTAAGTTGAATTTGTACGTAAGTTGGATCACATTGAGTTGGCCCTCCACATTCGTGGCGTTTAGGGGCACAGGATCCCCCTGACAGTGGGAAAACTATGAGTATATTTAGCTCCACCCTCCCTGCCCAAACTCCCCAGTGCATCCTCTTTGCAGTAAGGAAATGTCAGAGAGATTTCCCTCTGTAGATGGGCAGAGCAGGAAGGTATGCCTTGGAGACTTCCCTCTCTGCCCTTTTGCTTCCTCTCTCTATGGTGATGACAATTTTCTTCAGTAATTTTTTAAAATTAATATGCTTGATAACAGTTTGTCTGTAAGTATGGGTTGTTCGTAACTTGGAAGTTTATAACTTGAGGACTGCCTGTATAATTCAAATACTCTCCTGCTATGATGACATTTGAGATCTAGTTTTCTAACTAGATTTCAGATTAGTGAAGTTTCATTAAACTGAACAGACAGACTCCAATGCTTTTCTTTTGACAATGGGAGGCTTTGATCAGTGACCCTTCTGGATCAGGTTTTGGGGAACAGAGGGCACTGGAGTGGAAGAAAGAATTGCTGAAAATTGTCCCTACTGCACGTCATTGACTGAAGCCTTTCATTGGTAGAAGAAACTCTGATTCTACCTAATGATGCCATTATCACATGGTGATCATTTTTTAAATTTTTGTTTCTAATAGAAAACCAACTGCAGGTTTTAAGGCAATGATAACAGATTGTTTTTTGGCTCTATATCCTTCTCCTTATAGCCAATATGTTTACAGGATGGATAGGATTAATCACAGTCAATTTTAAGAACAAAATGTAAAATACAATAATCCCTGTCAACATTACGGACAACAGTAAGTATTTTAGGAAAACATGTTCTTCTAATTCAGTGTATTGTCCCCTGCAGGTATTAGAGCAGTGATGCATATGAACCCACAGAAACATTTTCCATGGAGGCTCAGTAGAGTTAGCTGTAGTTTAAAGTTGTACTCGGCAGAGTTACATGTAGTTTTGCTTAAATTTGCGGGAAGTACTGGATGCTCTTATCCTATGCAAACAAGAACACATCATTTTGAAGCTCTGATTGCACAAGGTACATGGTAGAAGGCCTGGAGTAGGAAATCCTGCAAGTCATCAATTTGTCGCTCATGTGATTCTTGGGGTTTGGGGTTTGGCCCCGTAAGCCCTGCACCCAGGAGGAATTATGTCTGGAAGAACTGTCACGTCTTGGAGGAAGTCCGCTGGGATCTCCAATATCAGATTGGAGTTCATAGTGAAGATGTGGGCAGCAGGAGAGTTAACTGGCATAGACAGAAACTACTTCTATCCCCTGTGCCAGCTGAGTGACTTTGAACAGTGCATGCTGCATGCAAGTAAGGTCTCAAAAGGTTTGAGAGCAGCAGTAGTTTTGTGTGGTTGAGTGGTTTTGAAGCTATGGGGACAGCATGTACTGTATGAAGCCAGGAACATGGATTTCTATGGGCAGTGTAGGCTGTGTGAAACCAGGAAGAGTAGCAGCTGCTCCTCCAAGCACTGGCCAAATCCCTTTCTCCCTCCTGGCAACTGCATGCATCTCCCGGCATGGACAAAGGCGAAATCCCCACATGGTGGAGAGATGTTATCACTGGTCACGGTCTTGCCCCTTTACATATTTTAGCCTCCAGAGGGCCACATGAAGTGGGAGGGATTAAGTAACACCTGTAACAGAAGAATCCAGTGTGAACCAATCTTAAATGACCAAATTTACTGTATTATCGTAATAATATATCATGGAGAAATACTATGCTACCAATGAATTCCATGCACACGGTGATACTGACCTTGCAGTTGTCTCATTTTGTGTTTCATTACATCTAGATCTGCTAGAATTTTATCTTTCTTCAACCACTTTTGTCGTTCTTGTCTCTCCGCTTTTTGCAAGGCTGTAGTGATGATAATGAATGATAATGATAATATTAAAAGGCATCAGCTGTGCCATCCTGAGTACCTGCTACACCAGCACTGAGGAGAGGGCTGAGGAGAGGGGTAGCCATGGTCTGCAGGAATACTATCTTCCTCTATAGGCTTTCTGTTCAGTCAAGTACAGAACTTGAGTGTTTGTACCTTGTGTCAGGTGCCTGACACAGATTAGGGATTCCGCAAGCGTACTGCTCACCATGCTGCCCCTCAGTTTCCTTGCCGAGGTGGCCTTGGACTTGGTGTTGAGAATCCCTAGCAGGATGTTTCTGGGGGATTTTAGCTGCTGTGCCAAGGCTGCTGTATCTGGGGAGGCTCAGGACTTCATGGTCGCCATGACAACCATGGGGCTGCCTCAATATGTTATTGACCCAACACATATAAAAGGACACATCCTTGATCTGGTTTTCTTGACTGGGCAGGAGGATAGTTATCTGGATGTGGGGGAATTAACACCAACCCACTTGTCAGATCACCTCCTATGAGGGAGACTTTTGGCTACCTCTCCCCTCTGTAAGGTGGGAGGCCTTAAAGCTCCACTCCCAGAAGCTACTACACCCTGATGGTTTCCAGAGGGCTCTGGGGGAGTTTCCAGTTGATATGGCTGGTGCTTCTGTTGAAGCCCAGGTTACTCGGTGGAATGCTCGGACAGTTGACACAATTGCTCCCAAGTGCCCTCTTCCCTTTTGTAGAGCCCAGTCAGCTCCTTGGCATACACCAGAGTTGAGGGCGATGAAGCAGGAGGGAAGATGGCTAGATGCAGATGGATCTTCTGCATCTGATTGAACATGGATTAGGGCTCATTATCCAGCCTACTGGATCCAGCCTACTCTGTGGTGATGAGGGTGGCAAAGAAGCAGTTCTTTTCCACCAGCATTGCATCTCCTCAGTGTTGTCTAGCAGAGCTTTTCCAAGTAGTTTGTGGCCTATTATATTCTGGGTTAGAGAAAGAAATCATGGAACCCTCGGTAGCTTGCTGTGATGAATTTGCAACAGCATTTTGAAGACAAGGTCACTCCAATTTGTCATGAATTGAACACCACAATTAAAGCAGTTCCATGAGCAGAGACATACAAAGCACCATCTGGTCCACTTTTATTGGATGAACTTCAGTTATTTGTGGCCTGAGGACATGGACAAGCTACTTGGCCAAATCTGACCCACCACTTGTGTGCTTGACACTTGCCCTTCATGGCTTATTACTGCAATTAAGGAAAGGATTTCTATCTGGATCCAGGAGACTGTAAATACCTCCTTGAGAGAAGGAATGGTGCCAGCATCCCTGAAAGAGCCTGTAATTAAGTCACTCCTGAAAAAGCCTAATCTGGACTCACAGGATGTTAATAACTATAGGCCTGTGGCCAACATCACCTTTCTGGGCAAGATGCTTGAGCTGTATAGCTCCAGGCACTCTTGAATGAAATTGGTTTTTATATATTCTATTTTATTCTGTACAGTTGCTATGCTTCTATACTGAAACATAGCAATTGCTATTATGCTTTTGTTTTTTACAATAATTTGTGTGTCTTTTAAACTTTTGTTTAATTTTAACTTTTCTTAATTGCCCAGACAGCCTCAGCTATTGGGTGGCATAAAAATGAAACAAACAATTTCTTCTACAGTATTATTGTACCTATATGTTTGTAAAGTTTATTGTTAGCCTAATGCACTCTATTTTTAAAACAACAACCACAACCATATACTGCTAACACAGAGATTCAGTTATAAGTATTTAATTAAAAAGTATCTTCATAAGAAATTCTATCTGAAAATATGGCAAAAATTATGAATATCTCTCTAGAACAGGTGCAAATGGAGAAAAAAACCAGACTACAAAATTTACAAATTGAACATTGCCTACTTAAGCAAATGCTACAATCCCATTCACATGTATGTGGAAGTAGGATCTATTGAACGACATGGGACTTGCTTCTAAGAGAACATTTATAAGATTGGTTTGACAGTAATACATTTTAAAAATGATTGAAGACTGAAGTTGTGTTTTTGACAATAATAGCTTGTTCATTATTTCTCAGCAAAAATCGTTTATTCTGCATCCCAAGGAGATTTTTAACTTTTGTAGCTTGAAGGGGAGGTACAGAGCCTGCATTGCAACCACTTTGGAAGCTGAAAGCACTTGAAAAAGCAATCTGGAAATAATATATTTGTTGTGTAGATGTCCCATTCAAAGAAGGAAAAAGACAAATATTTAACTGGACACACTCTCAAATTTGAGCACATCTAAAATAGCTCTTTGGAACCCAGAGCTATTTGGAAATCCATAGCTTTGGAATAAGCTATATTAATAGCTTAGTAACATACACTGCTTTTATATCATAGCAACATAATATGCTGCGTTTAGGTGTTGGGAAAAAAATCTTCCATTTGGAAGAAATGACTTACTATCCAAAGGCAGGAAAGGTTCTCCACAGGAAACCCAAACTTCAACTGGATTTCTAAGAATGATGTTGAGCAAAATGTCATCAGTCAAGTTCAGACTTTTTGGAGTAATCACTGATGATACAAACTCTGTCTTCATTTCCTCCTCTGCCTCTTTATATTGGTAGAAAGATAGAAAATGGAACTTTAGATCTTCTTTCAACTGCTATATTACACTTAACTTCTTTCACTTTCAGATCATAACATGTTCTAGTTCTAGCTTATGTCCATATATTTACTATTTAAGACTTGCTCATAATTGAGCAGTACTGGGTCATGGTGACACAATGTAAGCCCTTTGCCATGGAGGTGAGGCCCTCAAGTGCAATCTTACAGGTTTTGTATGCCTGTGTACAACTCAGACAATTTCTTCATCATTTTCTGACATCTCATTCAGATTTGCTGATTCTTTTGCTGATTTTCTTTAGCCTTGCTCCCCACTATGTGTTCTGATCAGAGGGTTACATTTACTTTATGAAGTAAAGACTTCATTAAACAAATATAAAGAGTTTATTTATAGAATAGACATCATCTGTATTTGCTAGGTTTCAAAGAAGTATTGGCCTTTTCTTCTGCTGGGAAGAAGAAATGATGGGCAATTGCCAAGCTTTACTTTACAGATCTGATGATTAAGCATGGTTTTTAACCTTTCCCAGCTTTTGCTTTAAATGTTTGAACTGATGGGATAAGGATCTGTAAACTTTCTAAGCAGTTGAAGGATGTCTAATAGAAAGCAGGAGCAAACTTTTAATGAGAGACTTCTTGTGGGCTAGCATATTGCTTAGAAAATCAATAGGCAAGAACGGGGGAATAAAGCAGATAAGATGAGTGCTTTTTACTAAGTGCATTTGATAAAGATTAGAAAATAATACATAGGAAACAAATACATAAAAGCGAAATATAGGCAAGAAAAAAGAGGACCAAATATAAACTGGTGCTGTATTAAAAACATGAAAAAGATGAATGGGAAAACTCTCCTTGTTCCCTTGTTTCACTTCTAGATAATGATCAAATGTGCATCTTTGAATAAATACAGCTCTATCCAAAATAACAAAACTGAGCTTAAAAAAAGATCTATATAACACTAGATGGGAAAGCTATGTTTAATAAAGCCCAGAAAAGCCAGAAATTTGTTTATACTGATACTAGAAAGAAAGAACGGAAGAAGAGTATATTCATCTACTATTTCTCTAACAGGCAAAATATTCTCTTTTTACAGTGTATGACTACAAAGTGGTAATTTCTTCCTGTTCATCAAGAAAAATGGGACTCCAGCATATAGCGCCTTTACTATCTAGAACAAATTCCAGAGGATTAGTTAATCTGTTGAAGCAAAAGCTACAACAAAGAGTCTTGTGGCACCTTAAGGATGAGTAGATCGTTGCAGGGATGGGCAATGTGTGACCCTTGAGTTGTGCTTGGATTGCAACACCCATAATCCCTAGTCAGTGTAGCCAATGTTGTAGGTGATGGGAGTTGAAGTCCAAGAACATTCCCCATCCTTGGTTTATTGTAAACTGCCATGGACTAAAGCCCTATAGGAGAGCATCTTAATCTCTCCAGAAACTCAGCTGCTGACCTATAGTCAAATTCTTTGACAAAAAGCATCTAAGGGAGATTTCAGCTTGAAACTGCAAACCTGGAATTTATCAACAATGTGTTTCTGTTTGTTTTGGACTTGACTGGGGACACTGTTATAGCTAGCCTCTGCTCTTCTGAATTTGAAACAGTACTCAGCTTGTATTCATTTGAGCTTTGGTAGATATATCAGGGGCTGCACTCTTTGCATTTCATGGCCTTTAGCACCTTTGTTTAGCTAAAATAAGTACGTGTGATTTCCATGTGATAACACAGGAAAAGCAATCTCAAAGTACTGAAGTATGTCAGTAGCATACCGAATAGTAACTTCTGCATGAATATAAGCCAAATGCATGTGCTTTCAGAATGTATGTGTGCAGGTTAAAAGTAATTTTGGACCATTAAATGGTTCATGATAAGATATATTATATAAATGACTAAAATAATTAGAACTTGTAGAATCCTTCTAAAACAAAACACAAAAAATTAAACATTTGTTCAAATACAATGTACTAGCATTAATCGTTCCTCCACAAGATTTCATTGTTCTTTGAGAAAATAGAAAACAAACCAAGAGATTTCCAAGATATTTCTCAGTAGCATACCAGCAAACAGGCTCCCTATAGCTTTACTACAAAAAGGGGTTAGCTCTGTGAAGTCAGATAATCTACATGCTAGTTAAGTACAAATTTAATTGGGAACTTGTTGAGGATGGTATTTTACCTTTCATGAGAAATGCAGATGCATTTTCATTAGGGCAGGAAATAGAAGTTGCTCGTTCATCTCTTTTTCCCAATTCCTGCTTTCTCAAATAATCATTTACAGCACACAAAATTAAATCCTGCAGTGTAAGGATTAAGGTTCCTTCACTGGTGTACAGTCTGCAAGCTGTCCTGTTAAGTTCAAGTCGTCTGGTACATAAAGAAAGCAGCTGAAGTAGGGGGGAAGTTAATAATATATAATTTAGCTTGCTAACTTCAAATATTCAGTTACAATTTTATTCTATTGCTATCCTCAGATTACTTCATTTATTTTAACTATATATTCCATTTCAATCCTGCCTGCCTTCTAAGAAATTAAGGCAGAGTATCTCTTTGTCTCTCCCCATTTTATCATTTCCAGCTCATGAGATATTACCAGCTAAGAGATAATGACTGGCACATGGTCAGTCAAGGAGCTTCATGGCTGAGTGGGAAGCTGACAGTCTCCACAGTTTGAGTTTTTGGATGTGATGCAACACATAAAGACAAGAAAGCCAGTGTGGTGTAGTGGTTAGGGACTCAGGGAGTCTTGGTTCTAGTCCCTGCTCAGCCATGGAGACAACTGGGTGACTTTCAGACTCTCAGCACAATCTACATCACAGGGTTGTTGTTGTGAAGATAAGACTGAGTGCAGGAGGAGGAAAACGATGTAAACTGCTTTGAGTTCTTTAAAAGAAAGAAAAAGTTGAAATATAAAGCTAAAATATAAGAAGAGGATAAGCATGCAGATTTACAATACAAGTCAGAATTTCACCCAGCAGGGGAAAGTAGGCTTGAGATTCTGGATCATTCAGATCTCGTATTACTAGTATCACTAGTACACCCTGCTTGTCATTTTTAATCCCATTATGATTATCTGTTTGGATGATTGCTACTCACCATAGGGAACGTACTAGTGATTATTAGTTGCCCATTTTGGTAACCAGCTCCATTTCTGTATGCAATTATTTTCACTGCTCTCTGGTTTACAGCTGCAGACATCTTTTCTGAGATGATTTGCAATGAAGTTTCTGTCTTCAAAGATGCTAAAACTTCTTCTAAATACTGCAAGGTAGATTCAGCTTCAGAAGTTGATAAATCAGTCTTCAGGATAATATAGAAGATGAGTGAGTCATGACTGTTTTTATTACAATTATGATTTTTTTTTTTACAATTACTACATTTTTAAAATGTAGCTCACTGTTTTAATTTCAAATTTTATTCTTTATCACAATGTGGAGAGAGTTAACATATTCCTTGCATATGTCAATCTGGGTTGTATGGAGTTGTAAACTATATAGATCACAAAATCTAACAATTACAAAAATGTTGGTGACAGGTATGCTTGTTATATTTCAATAGATCAGATTAACAGTTCTTGGGGAATGCCAAAAAACATATTGATGGACTGCTGAAAAAATAGTGAAATAACTAAACAGCAAGAATTAAGATGCAATAGCTAAATAGATAAAAAAATTTATTTATATTTAAATACCTGTCAATTCCTAGATATTATTAATAAAACAGAATGTGGATTGAATTTGTTGAACAAGAACTCTTTGACAATTGCTTATTGCTACTTTTTAAGATTATATAGTACCTCTTAACAGAAATTAGACCATGGACTACTTGACTATGCTTTCAAGTTCTCTTTCTCTTGAATGAAATTGCAGAGATAGCAAAATCTGCTGGCTATTCTGCCATATACCTACATGAATATCCTCCTTTGCTACCTCCCAACAGCTATATTATTATTTTCTAATTATTTTACTTTCTTATTGCGGTAATGAAATATTATTTTCTCCCTCTACTAGGAATCAGTATCAGTGTCTCCAAGGGCCATACCATAAGGTATATTACACCTGGCTAACTTTTAATGGAAGTATAAACTTTAAAGAGAAATATTCTTTTCGTATGATCCACGACCACTAGAGTAGGAATAAAATGGATGCCAGAGTTACTCAGGAAATGCAACTATTAATACAAGATACAACACACATACTCCTTCATGGATCACTGCCTTGTCGTGGCGAAGGGGCTTGCGTAGCTCAATGAAGCTATGAGCTATGCTGTGCAGGGTAACCCAAGACGGACAGGTCATAGCAGAGAGCTCTGACAAAAAGTGATCCACTGGAGAAGGAAATGGCAACCCACTCCAGTATCTTTGCCATGAAAACCCCATGGACAGTACCAAAAGGCAAAAAGATATGACGCTGGAAGATGAGCCCCTCAGGTCAGAAGGTGTCCAATATGCTACTGGGGAAGAGCAGAGGGCTAGTACTAGTAGTGCCGGAAAGAATGAAGTGACTGGGTCAAAGCCGAAAGAACACTCAGTTGCTGATGTATCTGGTGGTGAAAGGAGAGTCCAATGCTGCAAAGATCTATACTCCATAGGAAGCTGGAATGTAAGATCCATGAATCAAGGCAAGCTGGATGTGGGCAAACAAGAGATGACAAGACTGAACATTGACATCTTAGGAATCAGTGAACTAAAATGGACAGGAATGGATGGATTTAATTCAGATGACCATTAGGTATACTACTGCAGGCAAGAATCCCTCAGAAGAAATGGAGTAGCCTTCATAGTCAATAAAAGAGTAGGAAAAGCAGTACTGGGATACAATCTCCAAAATGACAGAATGATCTCAATTCGAATCCAAGGCAAACCATTCAACATCACAATAGTCCAAGTCTATGCCCCAACCACTGGTGCTGAACAGGCTGAAGTTGACCGGTTCTATGAAGGTCTACAACACCTTTTAGAATTAACACCCAAAAATGATGTCCTTATCATCATGGGGGATTGGGATGCTAAAGTAGGAAGCCAAAAGATTACTGGAATAACAGGCAAGTTTGGCCTTGGAGTACAAAATGAAGCAGGGCACAGGCTGGTAGAATTTAATCAAGAGAACACACTGGTCACAGCAAACACTCTTTTCCAACAACCCAAGAGACAACTCTACACATGGACATCACCAGACGGTCAACACAGAAATCAGATTGACTATGTGCTCTTCAGCCAAAGATGGAGAAGCTCTATACAGTCAGTAAAAACTAGAGAGGAGCTGACTGTGGCTCAGATCATGAGCTTCTGGTTGCAAAATTTAGGCTTAAGTTGAAGAAAGTAGGTAAAACACTAGGCCACTCAGGTATGACCTAAATCATATCCCTGATGAATATACAGTAGAAGTGACAAATAGATTTAAGGAATTAGATCTGATAGACAGAGTGCATGAAGTACTATGGACGGAGGTTCACAACATTGTACAAGAGGTAGCATCTAAAACCATCCCAAAGAAAAAGAAATGCAAGAAAGCAAACTGGCTGTTTGAGGAAGCTTTACAAATAGCTGAGGAAAGAAGGGAAGTGAAAGGCAAGGGAGTAAAAGAAAGATACACCCAATTGAATGCAGAATTCCAGAGAATAGCTAGAAGAGATAAGAATGCCTTCTTAAATGAACAGTGCACAGAAATAGAAAACAATAGAATAGGGAGGACCAGAGATCTCTTCAAGAAAATTGGAGATATGAAGGAAACATTTCATACAAAGATGGGCATGATAAAGGACCAAAATGGCAGGGACCTACCAGAGGCTGAAGAGATTAAGAAGAGGTGGCAAGATTACACAGAAAACTATACAAGAAAAAGCTTAACATTCCTGATAACCACAATGGGGTGGTCACTGACCTCGAGCCAGACATCCTGGAATGTGAAGTCAAATGGGCCTTAGGAAGTCTGAGCAACAACAAAGCTAGTGGAGGAGACAGTATTCCAGGTAAGCTATTCAAAATCCTAAAAGACGATGCAGTTAAAGTGCTACACTCAGTATGCCAGCAAATTTGGAAAACTCAACAGTGGTCACAGGATTGGAAAAGGACAGTTAAATTTCAATCCCAAAGAAGGGCAATGCCAAAGAATGTTTAAACTACTGCACTATTGCACTCATTTCACATGCTAGCAAAGTTATGCTCAAAATCCTACAAGCTAGGCTCCAGCAGTATGTGGACCGAGAACTACCAGAAGTACAGGCAGGATTTCGAAGAGGCAGAGGAACTAGAGATCAAATTGCCAACATATGCTGGAGCCTAGCTTGTAGGATTTTGAGCATAACTTTGCTAGCATGTG